TTCAAATACGCGTTGGAGTCCAGAAAGTAACTATTTATTGTGGCCAACCCCTGTTTCATATTGATATCTAGGGTTCAAGTAGTGGGCTACAAATATGAAGATTAGTTAATGCCCGTTGTATAAATTTAAAAATTGATGCACGTTTTTACTAAGAGATTAAAACATACCAGCTTGATGTAATGGACAAGATAATGTGACATCCCATCTGTGATTGATGATTTTGAGAATCCATTTTTTTCCCTTCAACTTAGAAATCTTCTCTTTCATTATGTGAAACATATCATATAAGATAGGCATTGTAGGAACTACCTCTGTGTCAACAATTCGCAGGATGCTATACAAAGGCTCATAGATGGATTGCACTCCTTCCATGGCATCTCAGAATCTATGATCAAGGACTCGACTTTCAATTCTCTTCCCCTCTTGTGATTCACTGAATCGACTATTATACCATTCCTCACTTGCACTACTACAAATATTCAAAAGGACAACGATGAATACACAACGATTGGCTCCAAAACCGTTGTAGTTGTTTCTTCCACAACAGTTACTACGTAACCGTTGTTAAAAGGGGTTTTTAAGCGTTGTGGTTTAGGGTATGTGGTTTTTTGATTTTTTTTTTTTCACAACTTTCCACAACAGTTTTCGTTTCAACCGTTGTAATTGAAGCTTTTTTTAAAAAAAAACCCGGAGTGAATAGTGACTCAATATTTTTTCTTAAGCCCCGATAGTTCTCATTCTCTCTTATCTCTCTTGTCTGTCACGTCTACCTCTCTCCACGGTCTTGTTCTTCCCACCTCGTCGCCTTGCCTTCGCCATGGCCAATAGATAGAGAGACTCTGTCTCTCGCGTCTCCCTCTCTCCACGCTCTCTCTCTCTCTCTCTCTCTCTCTCTCTGTGTGTGTGTAAAACCAGGCCCTAAGCTCTAAAAGCCTACAGAGGGGGGGTGAAGTAGGCTATAGGTCAAAGACCTACCCTTTTTAAAATTAAACTTCTTTAAAGGCACACAAGCACAAACACAAGCAATTTCGTGGTTAATAAAATAAAACTAGTAACAGCGGAATGTAACTAACACACAATAATTGTTGACCCAGAAAACCCAACAAGGTGAAAAACTGGGGGCACCAAGCCAGGAGAGATCCAATCTACTCAATTAAGAAATACAAGAAAAACGAAAGAAGACTTAGCTCATCTATCACCTGTAGGCAGCTATAATCCAACCTTTCAGCAAGCACCTTTTCTTTATCTCTTAGCAGCAGATCCTCTCAAGAGCACCAAGCTCAAGTTGCATGTAGTTTGATGTATGAAGTGAGTTATGGTTTCACAGATTCATCTATCTCAATCACAAAGTATCATTGAGCTAGACAAATGAAACCTAAGTGTTGTGATGATTAAACTAGAAGTAATGAACTTGAAGCATATAGTTTAATTCAGCAAAACAACAATGAAACAAACAAATGTTCAACCGAAATCTTGTAAGTGTTTACTTGGAGAAATCTATATGTATACAATCAATCATATACTCACAAGTAACATATACTAGTTGAACAAATAATAAAGAGAATGAATTAAAGAAAAACATTCAGCCATTTAGAGATTTAAAGTTATCTTGGGGAAGCACTTATGTGAATGCAATCATTCTCATAACCCTCAAGAGTATGAACTCTGGCTGAAGCAAAAACTCTTTTCAGAGTTTTCATTCCCACTCGGTTTTCATGACAGGAAGGAAGGCATAAACCATCTGTGAAAATGCATGAGCCGAACCAACACTTCTAACAGTTTTTTTGAAGGAATAAATAGAGAGCATTTTGAGAAACACACTTTTCTTTAATTTAAAACAAGCTGCAGACAACAGCATGGGAGTGGCTCAAGTTACCACCATACAAGATAAGGAAAGTTATTCCTTTTGTAGAAGAAAAGTGAGCTGACAAGTTTTAAGGGAATGGGAAAACCCAAGAGCATGGGTGTCGTGGGTTCCTATCTGAAAAGCAAGTTTTAAATAATAAAAAGGAACAACACTCTATAAGGTGGAAGACAAAAGAATAATTTATAAAATAAATGTCAAGCTTGGTTTCAAACAAAGCAAAACCGTTTGAGAGTAAATAAAATACTCTCAAATGTTTGTCAACTTTTTGAAATGGAGAATAGAGAAAGAAGCCCATGCTTTTGTCAGAAAAGCATGTTTAAAATATTTGGGAAATAGCCTTCTATGCCACCCATTTTATAATTTTAACTAAAAATATCACACCTTCCCAATTTTTTTACAACTGTTACCTATAAATATAAAACTATTGTCCACTTATTGCTGATTTTTCACAAGTTCAGAAATTTTGTTCTCTCTTAGGTCACTCAGCTCTCTCTCTCTCTCTCTCTCTCTGGCACAACTCTCTTTCTCTTTGGTTTGTCTAACGCAGCTCTCTGTGTCTCTCTTGGCTCTCTCCCTCTCTAGCGCAACTCTCTGTCTCTCTCTTTGCTCTCTTTCTCATAGCACAGCTCTTTCTCTCTCTAGCTTCGTTATGTCTCTTTCTCCCCCTATTCGGTCTCTTGCTCTTTGTTTGGAATCTTGAACCCCTCCCTTTAGGTATGTCTTCTGAATAGCTGCTTGCAACCTTGAAGCTCTAGTGGATTGCCGACCTCGAAAAGGTAGTGTTGATGGTTATTTTCTTAATATCAGTGGGATTATGTGAAATGGGTTATATTTTGATTGTTTGGGTTTGTGTTAAATTCGGTTTTGTTGAATATTCATGCTCA